TTTTGGTACCCCTATAATTCGGATGTTGGAGCATTTAAAGACGTCCTGGAGGTTCCTAAGCCTCTCCCCATTATTTTGAATTCTTGTTTCTTCATTCTTTTCTGTTTGGTTGTTTCTTTCTTCCTTCTGTTCCACTCCATTGATTTGTGTCCCAGTTTTCTTCTCATCACTACTGGTTCCCTGTGCATTTTGGTTCCTTTCACTTAGTGTAGCTTCACCTCCGTTCCCTTGGCCTGTGTTCCACTTCTCAGAATGTCGCTGCACAGCATCGGTCCTCTGGTTGGTCTCTCCCCCAAGTGGGAGCCATTCAGAATTCACCAAGTCATACACCTGCCTGCTTTTACACACATACACACACACTTTGCCCAGAAGGTATCCAGCCATGTAATTTGAAAAATAAAAGCATTTATTGAAGAAGATACAAGACACGAGAAAGAATATACATAGGACAATGACACCTCAGTCCCCTTCAAAGTAGACACCTTGGGACCTCACACAGTTCTTCCAGTCACCATCAGCTGCGCCATCCTACTTTGCTGAATGTCATTGGCAGGCTGAAACCTCTTTCCTTTCAAAAGTGATTTTAGTTTTGGGAAAAGCCAGAAGTCAAAGGGCACCAAATCTGGGCTGTAGGGGGCTGAGTCACCCAGGTGATTTGATGTTTCGCCAAAAATCTTTGCATGAGACGTGATGCATGAGCAGGGGCATTGTCGTGATGAAGCTGCCGATCACCAGTTGCCCACAGCTGTGGCCTCTGAATCATTCGAATAGTTTCCATGGAGGAATGTTCAAGCTTAATGCAAAATGGGATGCAGATTCGTGGCTCTGCTTGCTCAGTCATTTTGAATGCGACAGCCACACAGTACACATGCTCACTCAATGGTGTCTATGGCCTCCACTGACGTGTACAGTGAAGTCGTCCTTGTTCACGCATGTGCATTCCAGTCCCCTCTTTTTGGCTGCCTGGTGACATTGTTGTTGCACAAACTGTTCTCATTATATTAGCAATGGCTGGACTTTTTCTGGACAGACCTCATCTCTTATCCATCCATCTATCTGTCTATCTATCTATCTTATCAGTCTATCTCCATTTTTGTTCTGGTGTTTTCTCATGTTATTCAAATATCTCATGGTCAATATTCGGTGTTTTAATGTTTGCATAATACTTCAGCATGGCACTGTGGTGTGGTTGCCTGATTTAGCAAATAAAAACTAGAAGACACCCAGTTCAGTTTGAACTCCGGGTAAACTGCACTTACATTGAGGAGATGAGTGTCCCATGCAGCATTTCCAGTGCAATATTGGGGACCTCCTTATTTTTCTGTGTTTAGCTGAGACTCAGGTTGCATTGCTCTTCAGCTTTGAATCTCGCGGTCCTACAACATAGCACTGTGTTTACACAGCCTCTGGCTTCCGAACACTTACAGGTGTTTAGAGATGCCACAGACAGCCCTGGACCTACAGTTTCCTACTGTGAATTTACTGCCTTCGGTGGATTGTTCCAAGAAGAATTACTGAGCATTTTTCCAAGACTTCTCAAACTGATTGCTAACTCACTTTAAAAAGGTTACAGCAATTTCTGTTCCCACCAGCAGCATTTGAGCGCGCCCACCCCCTTGCACCCTCGCCGACGTTCTCATCACTTAAATCCATCTTTGCTCTTTTGGCAAGCAAATAACGATCCATCATTTTTATCTTTGATTACTAATGACGTTCACATTTTTTTTTTGTTTGTTTATTAGGCATTCTATGTCCTGAATTTTAAATCTTCTGCAGCCGTACCCTGTCTTTCCGGCCCCTGTTTTGGATCACTTTGAAGTCTTAAGGAATATGTCTTATTTTCAGTTACTCATTTTTGCTCAGCCACCAGGGCTGGACCCTGGTCCCCAGGCTCCAGTCCCAGGAGGAATTCCGGACCCTCCCCACCCACCAGGCTGCCATCCTACCATTGTTTAAAGTAATGGCTTCATTTGGCTTCTAAATGTGTTTCAAATGAATCCCTTCAAAGCACAGAATAGTGGTTCTTTTCTGAGCCTGCAGAATAAACCTTCCTTTCCACGTTCTCCCCATGTCTGTTTCTAGTGCGTAACTGGCTTCGAAACAGCTTCCGTCATTGCCCCGTTCCCTGCCCTCGAAAGCCCGCGTGGGATCATGGGAGCAGTAACGTTTCATGAATTTCTCTCTAAAAATGTTCTCACTATAAAACTGTGGGTGCACCGTGGATGGACTCCATTCCAGAGGACCTGGGGGCGTTGCATTTCCGTGAAATTTAGCAGACATGTGGCTCCTTTTCTAGTGGGGTTCACAGTTTCAGGTTAGAAAAGAGCTGAAATTGCAAGATGCGCTCCTTCTGAGAAAGGATACAAATAGTATACAAATAGTATATGTTACTTCTGGAACACTTCCTGAGGTGAAGTAAAGGGCACATTTGTGCTGCTGGCCTGTTGGCCTCTGACCCCTGTGAGGCCCTGTCTCCGTGAGCCCCTCCTTGTTACATAAGGAGCCCTGGTTGCCTCCTCTCCGACATTCTCATCTGCAGCGAGGACGTCCCAACTGGCCATTTACGGGCTCCCAGGACTTGCATTATGGAAATTCCTCCCTTATCTTTAGGTTTTCATTTTCTGCATTGCATCAGCTTCCCCACCCTTTGCCTTGCCTGAGTTTTTTGATTTTACACAGCAATCTGCTCCCCAAATTGAGCATGTCCAAGTCACTGGGGCAAGCAGGTGCCCAGACTCCTGAAGGACTGGACTTTCTCATTAACGTCACTCAGCGCCCACGCCCTCCGTGTTCTCCGGACCGTTCTGAGGTCTTGCTGTTCTACTTTGAACTTGATATTTCCAGGTCAGCACTTCACGTATATTGCTTCTGATTAGACATAGCTGGCTTCATGCCTTAGGGGATTCTGGTGTGTAGGTCGCCATGGCTTAACTCCTGTGACCTGTGGAAGATGAACGTGAGCCCATACGAGGTTGCCGGGGCCCCTACAGACCTCTTCCTGCTCTGGAAAAGCTCCTCTCTGGGCGGGGGTCGTGGTGGGGGAGAGTGCGCTCTCAGCTGGCTCTGTCTGCATGGAAGGCAGGCAGGGTCCGTGGCAGCCTTTCCTCTCCTTTCCTCTTCCTCTTCCCACGCTCTCTGTGACTGCAGCAGTGCGGGCAAGGGACCCCCACCTCCTGCTGACCTCAGCTCCCTCAGAACCAAATCGTGCAGCTGGGTATGAGGGAAGGAAATGAGCTCAGCTGCCAGGCACCGCCTTGTCGCCCTCTGCCCATCCAGAGGGGAGAGGCCACAGTCAGCTCGGGCCCACCGCCCGTGGGACGGACCAGAGGAGAGAGTCAGTGTGACTGAGGGCCACGGTCCTGGCGGCCTCCTTGTGACCATTCTACATGTGTGTCAAGAAGACTGTGACCTAGAAGGTGGCCCCTGGTAGCGCGATGAAGATGCAGAGTTGGCAACTCTCGGGCTCAGCGGATGCCCGGCATCCATCTGTTCCAAAGTTGGTGTTCAGAAACAGGCATCCGGCCGTTCCGCAGCACACTCCTCCGGCGGCGAGCGAGCGTGATGCAGCGCTGTCCCTGACCCCCCTTGGAGTCCGAATCTCAACAGTGGTTGCCACTCAGCAGTAATGCACATTCCTGGGCCAGTGGAAGGGCCATGTCATCATTATTGTATTAGTTCAGTTTACATAACACACCCTTCGAGGGCTCGCTTGGAAGCCTGTGTGTGTCCTGCAGATAGAAAAGGAATCGGAACACTGTTGGACTTTAACATTCCACTACAGAGAGTGAATTTCAAGTTAATACAAAAGACGTTTAGGTATTCAAATCTATTGCATGTAAAAGTAGAATAGAACTCATTTAATAGGGCGGAATTAGGGGCATATCTGAAAGTACGTCTCATCCTATAATTTTACCATGTTTGTACTGGCTGAATGAGAGTATATGTGCTGTGTTTCTTTAAACGTCATTAATTTAGGGGGAAGTAAGGTAGGGCGAGGAAGCTTTTAAGATGTTAGCCACAACCCCAAAAGTGATACATTGCAGTCAATGGCAGCAGGACTGGTCAACCGCCTGCCCACTAGTCAAACAGACCCCTTTGGTGCACACATACACAGACATGCACACCCGTTCGCACAACCACAGACCCACACATGGGCACGTGTGCACAGGCCTGCACACACAGACACACTCATGCAGTCTTGCACACACACCTGCACACACCTGCACACACCTGCATGCACAGATATGTGCCTGTACAGACCTGTGCACACTGACATGTGCACAGATCTGCACACGTACACATGCACACGTGTGCACACTCACAGCCACGCGCGTGCTGGCCGCCCCCATCTGCTTACTGCATCAGCTTCTTCCTTCCTTCTCCCCAGGCCTTGATTTTGTGTGTCAGTTTCCTGTTCTCCGCCCCCCCCACCCCCTGCTCTGTCCTCCAGGAGGAATCCCTGTCTCCCCACTTTACATCCAACGCGTCTCTCGCTCTTCTTCAATGGCCACGAGGACTTGGCCATTGTTTACTGTGGTGTAGGGGTCACGGCCTCTGCAGCAGCCCAGGAGGGCGCAGGCAGATTTCTGAGGGGGAAAGAAGCCTCTCTTTGCCAGGGGCTGGGGGAAGGGCTCCCCCACATTTTGCTGGTAACAAAGACAGCAACTTTTCATGATGTAAGTGGTAGGGATTTCAACCCTGCCTTTGATTTTCATGTATAGAATGCGGAAGGATTCGAAGCTTGTTTTTCTGGCCTGGACAACCCTGGGTCAGGAAGCATTTAATTGAATGAAATGGAGGGAAGGAAAGAGGGTACAAGGAAGACTGTGAGGTTGGCAGGACCCGTCACCAAGCTGGCCGGCAGGATGACAGCTGTCACAGCTTCCTGCCTGTGCCCCTTCACTTCCTGCTGCCAGCTTCCCGCCAGACTGCTGGTCGGCAGCAGCGTTTTCTAGAGTTTGTTTACCCCCCGCCTAATTGTCCTTCCGATTCATTTACAGGGCAACTTCGTGGCTTGTATGACCGCAATCCTGCGACAAATGGAGGACTATCATTACGCCCACTTGATCAAGACTTTCGGGAAAATGAGGACCGACGTTGTGGTGAGTGTGACTCTGCCATCTTCCCCTCGGCCGTGTTTTGGGGCCAGCGGTGCAGGCCAAACGCGGGGGTCGACGCTTCTGTTCTCAGGAGCATTTTGCTCGGGGCTGGCCTGCCGTGGGCTGGAGGGGCCGCGTGCCTGGGCCTGACTAAGCTGTGTGTCCATGATGAGGGTCCAGACTTGCAGACCCGCCTCTCGTGCCCGAGAGGGGAGCGACTTTGGGTGTTCACCCAGAGAAACCCCCTTCCTGCCTGGTCACAGCTTCCTCCTGCGCCTGGGGTCCTTGCGGATGTGCAGGTGGTGCCGGCGAAGAGCCTCTCACTGATTCCTCTGCGAGGTGATTGGCCTTCGACGGCAGAAGGCGCACAGCCCTTGCGGCCTTAAATTAATCTGCGTTACCAATGCACGGCGGTCACGGAAGCTCATTGCACGCACCTCTCCACCTCGGTCTAGAGTGTCCCCAAAACCCCTGGGCAGGACAATCGTGCTAGAAGGGAACTGATCACTCAGGAGCCCCCCACCGGCACCCTGCCGTCACAAGGTCACATGCCAGGTGTCCCCCACGGGGCGGCAGCCAGACTTGTGGGCAGAAATGCCGATTCGACGATGACCCGAAGTCTGGCGTCTGGTGACACGGCTTCCGTGTCCGGGGCCCCCGTCGAATGTAGCAAAACTCCCGGGTCCCCACAGCAGGCTCCGTGGCATTCTTCGTCTGTCTGATGGAGGCTGGGAAGAGGGGACTGCGTTTTATGATTTTTGTTCCAAAGGATTACTTCTAAGAAAAAAATCACCTTATCAATTGTTGCCACAATGTATTCCTTTGTGGTGTTTTTATGTTTACATTTCTAAAGAAAACCAAAATGGGTCTCTACCTTGAAATCATAGGTTTTCTTAAGTAAAAGTCAGGAACAAGAATGGGTGTATGTTTGTGTATCTGTGGTCGGTTTTTTTAAACACGGATGAGCCCCTTCGAGTGGGGGTATGCCCGTCCATGTAATAAGTGTCACATTTGGGTCTGGTGACTGGCGACCCATTCAGTGTGTGTGCCGCGGAAAGCCGCCCCTGAAACCTCACAGGAGCCCTCGGCCCCGCGCTGGCCCCAGCGGAGCTGCAGCCGAACCCGCAGGAGCGATTCCAGGCCGCACTATGCCGTTCGCACAAGGAGCAGCACCGCGCACCCAGAAACGCCCGGACTGACCACGCCATCAAAACCCACGCCTGCCAGGGGCTAAAACCAGCTGGTCCCCACTGGGAACTGGCACTCGGGACAGGGACCCGCAGGGCGACTGTGCAGAACGGTGCTGGGAAGGGGCTGGCGTTCGCTGGGTTCCGGAGCGTCCTCCACGCACGCGAGGAGCAGACAAGCAGACGTTTCCTACAGGTTGCCTCCCGATGTCCCGAGGGCGCTTCCCCTCTGATGCAGCAATTCCGAAAATCAGTTATTTGCAGGCAACTGGATTTCCGTAACCAAATGACATTGTGGTTTGGATATCACAAATTCATGCCGCGAGGATGGTAAACCGTTTTTATCGTTGTTGGTCTGTCAGAACTTTGTAAAGTGGGTTCCCTCCCACTGACTGTTCATAGAGAGCGTTTGACTGTCTTCTGCTCTGACAACTGACCACAAAAAGAAAGGTCATTTTGTGTCACATCACTGGGAGTCAGTTCATGTTCCACCCTGCGAACGGGCCTCGGCTGAGGTCTCAGGCTGTGCGGCCTTGTGACCCGTGGTGCTTTGGGGCTTTGCCTCCTGCCCTTGTCTGGGCGGGTGAGTCAGCCCCACACAGAAACGCTGTTGTTACCAACACCGAAGTCCCTTGTCACAGAGCCGTTCCTCTGCATCTCTGAAATAGCCCTGCGGACCCGAAGACAGTGACAGAGAGTCTGGGGCACAGCCTGAGGCAGGAGACTGATCCAGAAAAGAGGGTGAACGGGCGGCTTCGACTCCAAACCCTCTGGGAGGAGGAGACACGGGACCTTGAACCCCCGCTGCCCGGAGCTGCCACTTGTCCTCGGTGCTCAGTGCTCGTCCTCGGTGCCGAGGCTCAGAGTCAGGAGCAGGAGTAGAGAGTGTTCAGAGTTTCCGTGGCGAGACAGAAGGTGGTGGGGAGAGCTCTGCGCCTGCGCCTTCCAGGGGACAGTGGTGACTTGCCGCTGGTCCCAAATTCCCACCAAGTGGCCCCCCTGAAGAAGTATCTGTTGAGAGACAAGTATAAGGACATCGTAGGCAGAAGGAATTCTTGCTGGTTAAGTGACAACAGGACAAAGGACAGTGGAAGGCTGATAGAACTGGCTGCTACTGGCCCTGTCACCTGCCCTGCCGACTTGTGGCCGGCCACTTGCCTGCCCCTGCGGCCTCCCCACCCTCAGCTCTGTCCACTGTGGGTCATCTAGGAACGCTGCACCGGGCAGGGCCTCCCAGGTCCCTCCGTCTGCAGTGCCCTCCCAGCCCCTCCAAGCACCTCTCCCTGGCACCAGCGGGGTCCCACCAGGTCTGCCCAAGCTCTCCCACCTTGTCTGTCCCAGTCAGCCTGTACCGGGATGGCCCGGGGTGCCCTTCACCCCTGGGCAGTGGCGAGTGACAGTGCTCGTTGCTGGACTGTCCTGGCCTAGGCGGTGCTCTGCTGTGGCGTCCCTGTTCCTAGAGAGCCTTGAGTTCCACAGCCACAGCCACCCAAGGGCGATTTGCAGCCTGGGGAGAGTGTGTCGGGAGTGGGAGGAGGCGCCTTGGGCAGAACATCTGTTCTTTTATTCCTCGTGACCATTTCCTGGTACGTGAAGCTTTGACATACCAGGAAAGCTTTGACATTTGAGGCTCTGCACCCTGGACGACGCGCCTGGGGTCACACGCTCCTTCCACAGGGAGCCCACAGGGGACACTGAGTCTGTGGGCCGGGGGGGCGGCCAGCGGGAGACGGCCCCCCAGCACTGCCGTCTGGAGGAGGCCTGCACGGCGATGCAGGGGCCCTTCCAGCTTATCCAGATCACCTGTGCTGCGAAGGAAGGGTCCTTGGAAGGTAGCCGGGCTGCATTGCATCCAGGGGTCAGGGAACCTTCTTTGCAAGGGAGGGGATTGTGGAGTGTTGAGGAAGAGGAGGGAAGAGCCAGCTGGGGAGGGGCAGCGAGCGCCCGGGTTCCCCCTGGAGAGGGGCGGTGCCCTCCATGCCCCTGGACCTGCAGGCTGCGCCGAGAAGCTTTGCACCCTTCGCCTGCTAGTCCTCAGCTGTGCGTGTCGGTCACTGCTGTTTTCCAGCCATCGTTTTAAAGTTGTTTTAGAGCATTTACTCTCTGGGTAAAAAACTCTTTTGAGAACTGTAGGCCCGTACAGTTGCACAAACAATGCAGAGAGGTCCACGTGTCTTGGCCCACTCTCTCCTAATAGCAGCATCGAGCAAAATAATGGCACGTTAGTGACAGTTGCCATCCGAACCGCAGCGTCGGCGTCGGTGCCGTTGTTGGTCTCCTGGCGGTTCCCCGGTTTTCCTTGATCTCCTTCCCCAAAGTATTTATGACGGACAGTTGCCAACATGGGGAAGCTGAAAGGACAGCGCAGGGAGAGTCGTTCCTCCCGCCTCCTGAGCCCTTGGCTGTGAGCCCCTCGCCCGATTGGCTCCTCGACGCTTCTCTGTGTCCGCACAGCCCAGTCCCCCAGTGGGTGAGCGGGGGCCTCCCCGCTGAGCGGCACAGCAGACATCTCTCAGGCACGAGACCCCTCCCCTGGCCCTTCCGGAACCTAACAGGCCTGCCCTCCTCCCGGACACGCTCAGGTGTGCACACGCCTGTTTTCCTCGTCTTCCGGTCGGGGCTTCCCGAAGCAGGCCCGGTCCAGATTCGGTCACTGCATTGCCTATGGCACCTCCCATCTCTCTCCTTCCACAGCAAGTCCGTCACCTCGTTTTTCTTCCTTTCAAGACATCGAGTTTTGGAAGACACCATGCCGATGGTTTTGCAGAGTACCCCGCACTCCTGAATCTTGGGGTGCTGCCTTGTAACGTCTTCAGTGTGTTGCTCGGTCCTCCGTATGTGCTGCAAACAGGAGGCTGTGTCCAAAATTCCTTTTGTAAGAGTTCTGTCCAGTTGTGTCCACCGAGAGGTGGAAACAGCACGCCGACCACCACTGTGGTGACAAGCTTGACCCCTTGGTTGAAGGGGGCACTTGCCAGTCGTCCCATCGTGGACAGGCTTGCCCTGCAGCGATGGCCATGTCCTCTTTGGGCGACGCTCTGGGGTCCAGGGAGAGTCGACAGCACCTCTACCTGCAGCGGCCCCTCACCTGACGGGGTTAGCACCTACGGAGGGTCCTTGTCTAAAAGTGATGTGGCACAGTGGTGACTCCCGACTTCTGAGAGTCACGTCACAGCGTCCTGCGTGTGCTGGGAAGCCTCTGACACGTGGGTCCAGTGGGACTTGGGGGAAGTGTAGCTGCCTCGACGAGGTCTGCAATGTGAAGAGGTCACCCTGGGTGACGTGGAGGGACCAAGAGGGACAAGAGTGGACGTCGGTAGATAGGCCAGGAGTCCCCTCTGGCAATTGAGGTGAGAGAGGATGACCGTTTCCTCAAGTTGGTGGGGAGAGGGATGGACAGAAGCAGGTGGGTTTGCAGGATACGTTGACAGCTGTTGTCAGGGCAACCTGCTTAGCATGTGGCGCGTGCTCTCAGGGATCAAACCGAGCAATGCAACAGGACCGGCGTGACATTGAAAAATGACAACTTTCCCCGAACCTCTCCTGTTAGCCCTACCCCCCCCCCAATCGACTTGGAAATGCCAGGGCTGTGCAGCAGCCCAAGAGTGGGGACCGACCGTGCCCACGGCCAGCGAATTATGCAGCCCGGCTAGGCAGCCTTGCAAAGCCTGCTCGCCCACAACGCGTGGTGTTCCGTTGGTTCAGCAAAGCGCCCGCTCCTCACAGCTGAGCCATGCTGATGAGGTGCGGGCCGCGCTTCCCAGGGAAAAAACAGGAGTGGGGGGAACCGGCTTCTCTTTCGGAATAATAAACACCAGACCCCGTGTCTCGATTATTAGGCTTTGAGGAGTGATCAGCAAGAAAGCCAGCAATTTCATGCAAATTGAGATGTGACTAAATTACAGCACTCAGCCGGCGAAATATGCAAACTGGTCATTAAAATGTGGAACTCTTGACAAAGTGGGAACTAGGAACATGGATACTGAATCCGGGAGAGAAGCCCTTCATTGCGCCGTTGCACTGGGGCACCTGGCACACTGCAGCGTGACGGCCTGGGGGGCAGAGCTCTGTGCGCAGAATCTGGATGCTGGGCTGGCTTTTCCCTGGGGACTTTGCCGGGGCCCCTGAGGTCTCCTTCACGGGGCGCTGATCACAGTGGCTCCCTGAGTTCTTACTGTCGAGGAGGGGCCTGGCATTGGTACTGAGGTTGCTGAGGTGTCTTCACTTCGGACCCGAGCTCACTGTAGCCATCACATCTCACCTGTGCCCCTTGGCAGGAAATCCTCAGAGCTCTGTGCTGGGAATGGCTTTCTCGGCTATTGAAATTCCGCTCACCGCCCCGGTCTCCGCAGGCACTGCACCTAATTATGATGCAGTCGATTACATAAATGAGAACTGGGTGCTTGTTTGGCGATCTCTGCCTGTGGCCTCGCTGTTCTGGGGGAGCTCACAGTCGCCTTTCTCCCTGCTCTCTCGATCTGGAGGGCGCGTGCGGGCTCCTGGGAGGCGTGCTTTTTCGGATAGCCACTCGTTTGGTTGGGGTTAGCTCGGGACGAGTGCCGCGCTGTGTGATTCCAAGCATTCTCCTAATTCTGACAGGCACAGGGTGGAGCCCCCAGGAAATGGGTGCCCCTTCCCGATGCCAGATGCAGTCCTAGTGTGGGAGCCGGGTGGGACAGTGGCGTGCCACCCTGGGCGTGGGGGACCACCAGCCAGGCAGCAGAGGCACCACTGAGTAGCTCACAGGGATGTCGCTGCCGTGGGGAGAGTCTGACAGTGTGGGCACGTGCTCCCGTGGTTCATGGCGGGGGCAGTCTGTGCAGATGGGCGGGACTTCCTCTTTGAGCCTTTCATTTGCTAAATTGTATAAGAAAAAGGAATGGATAATAAAACCCCACATTCAGCTGGATAGGGCCTGTTCTTACAGTAAATATAAGAAGTGTTATTAATTATTATAATCTGCATGTTAACGTTTGTAAAAAAATACATTTTTCTAGAAGCAGGAAGTGCATGGATACGTATTTGTAATTTGGGGGGACTTAATTCTTTATGAACATTAGAGAGACATGCCCAGGGTCTGTTTGGAAACGCATCCTCGGAAGAGTTCCCTGAGGGGGAGGGGCCCCGGCGAACAGGAGGGCAGAGGCAACCCTCCGCAGGCACCCGTGAGATGCAGCTCCATCCCTGCTCAGAGGGCTCCTGCTGAGCTAACAAAAGCAAGGTCATCCGGAACGGCATCCGAGGGGGGGAGTTTGTTTTTCCCCTTGTTCTGGATGGGCTGTTCCAACATGTGGTTTCATTTCAGGACTTCCTGATGGAAACATTCATCATGTTCAAGAACCTCATCGGAAAGAACGTCTACCCGTCTGACTGGGTGATCATGAACATGATGCAGAACAAGTGAGTACCGCAAGCCCTTTGCTGTCCTGGGCCGTGCCAGGAGAGGGGGCGGGGCATGGCGGAGCCACTGGTTCCCACAGACTCTCCCCAAAGGACACACATTCCCCTCTGTCAGACAAATGGTTACTTGGACAAACGGACCTGGCCATTGGGTGATTTCCAAACATGGGCTCTGCCCCCTGAGGAAGACGAATCTGAACATGAACGCCTCCCCCCCCCAGTCGTTGTCAAGGGTAGACCTCCTGTTCGCCTTCACCTGCCGTCTAATTTTAACCAGGCACGTTTGCCAGCCAAAGTGATCCTCAGCTCTCTGCTAGGTTTCTGGAAGGTGTTTGCATTTCTCGTATTTTGGCTTCAAAAGACTCATGAGCATTTTCTCCATAGTTATTAAATATTAAACTGGTGCTTGTCATCTCCCTGTGAGGGCTGCTGGGTAATTTCCCAGCTGTTGGCTTTTTTAATTTCCGTGGGCACCAGTGCTGGTCTCTGTGTTCCTGGTCACCCGTGATTTCGAGAAGAAATTGCTGTTTGCCTCTTGCTTCCTTCTTTCAAATTGCCGTTGTGATGGAGGTCACCGGAGGGCCACAGGCGGTCAGGTTATAAGAAGTGACGCGGAGAGGGGGCTGTGCGCGTCTGATGTCAGCGTCCTGGGTGACAAACCCGCTGCAAAACGATCGCACGGAGGCACAACCAGGAAGTGACGCCGACGCAGTCCCCAGACTTCACTCGCTGTCCCCAGTTTTATACGTGTTGTTTGTTTTTGGATCCATCCCAGGGAGGACCTGGGCCATTTCCGTCACCCTGTGGGCCCCTCATTGCCCACTCTCCCCACCACCCCACCCTCCCCGATCCCTGGCAGCCGCTGATTCCATCTTCATTAGTACAGTTTCATCATTTGGCAAATGTTCTATCAGGAAGTATGTCGCCTGTCGGAGTGGTTGGCTTCTGTCACTGGTGAAATTCCCTGGAGATCCAGTTAGGTGGTTGTATCAAAGGCTCATTCCCTCCGCTGCCCAGCCATGTCCCCTGGTGTGGCTGTACCGCAGTGAGTCGGCCATCGTCCTATGGAAGGAGTCTGTACTGTCGTCGCCTTTTGGGGGTTGTTACAGGTGAAGCTGCAGTGGGCACTCAGCTACAGGTTCTGTGTGAACGGACGCCTCGATCCCCTGGCCCACGGGCTCCGGGCTGCCGGGCTGGGCGGCACGTCCGGTTTTGTAAGAAGCTGTTGGACGGTGGCTGTGCCGTCGTGCCCCACCCCCACTCCTGCCCGTGCACCGGTCTCCCTGCATCCTCACCGCATTCACTGTTGTCACTTTTTATCTTAACCACTGTGACTGGCTAAGGCACAGCCACCATCAGGCCACAAGGTGTGGCCCCGCCTGGGGACCAGAGAGGGGTCCTGGCCTCGGGGACCTGCGTTCCACCTGTGGGGTGACTGGAGGTTATTCACCTGGCTCCGTGTCAGCATCAGAGTCCTCACGGGGAAAGCAGGGGACTTAGAGCTCAGGCGTTCCCTTCCTCTCCCTGTTGGGGTCACCCTCGGGGGGGCCGCTTACAGTTGCCCTGGGAAGCTGCCCTGTTGGTGGAGGTTTGCTTTGTTTTCTTGGGGTGGGCTTTTTAGTTTTGAGTTTTACTGAGTTTATTGGAGTCATACTGGCTAATAAAGTTATAGGTTTTGGGTGTGTAGTTCTGTGATGTGTTATCTGCTCAGCGAACTGTATATTTACCAGCCTGAGTCTGGTCTCCGTCCATCGCACTTTCCCTCCGGGCCCCTCTGCAGAGCTCCCTGCGGAATATGAGTGGTGTGCACTGCATGTGTGTGCACACACACATGTGGATGCCTGTGTATGCAGTGTGTGTGTGCATGTGTGTGTTGGCTCCAAGTAAAGGCACAGTTATTGGCGGAGATTCTACGTTGCTGTCACGGGGGTCACACTCTGCAGGGACCAGTTCCCAAGTTCACGTGACGAGCCAAAGAGAATGCCCCAAAGGAGGCAGGTAGACAGTGACCAAGATGTGGGCGTTGTCGCTGTCATTTCTGCCCCTGCATCTCACTGCCCAGTATCTGTTCTTGGGAGCTGATTCAGTTGCCATTGGAAGAAGCCTATTTCCTCTCCGCAGCCAGCTGGTTAAAACTGAAACACCTCAAGACGTTCGACTGTCGGCCCTTTGGTTTTCTTTAAGAGCCTTGCTCGAAGGCCAGCTTCCTAGGGCAGCCCTCCTTCCCTTGCCCGCTAATGCGCTCCTTCTCTGGCCTGTTTGCATCCTGGGCGGAGGCCGCACTCGCTTCCCTCGCGCCAGCCCGCTGGGCGGCTGTGACCCCCCCGACCCTGTCTGGAACGCCCTCCGCAGCGCCCCTCCACGGCTGCTGCTCCGCATCCACGTACAGACGGGAAACGGAGGCATAAGGATTTGGTTCCTCGTCCAAAACACACCACCAGGAATGGGGGCCAGCCCTTACCCCCGGCCGTCCCCTAAGAGCCCACACGCCAACCTCGCCTCGGGAGCTTCCGCATGACTCATGTCCCCAGAGAGAGTGTGCGTTTCTTTTTTTATCTTACTGTCCTCAGAGCTCTTTTCCAAAGGACTTGCTGCTTCCCTGAGTGAATTTTAAGCATGGAAGTGGAAATGTTCCCGCTTAGCTTTCTTTGTCATTGGGAGTACACCGTTCATTTCCGAGGGGCCCCGCTGTGAACGTCTGCAAGGACAAGATCTAGTGGAAACGTGGTGAAGAACTTCCTTTAGAAATCACACAGGTGCCGTGTGATGCTGTTTCTATGGCGTTCTCTCTTTGCCTTTTTTTTTTTTACTAGCCCGATACCATTGGTTCCCCAGCCTTCACTGCTCCTCCCCCCAACCCCCCGCCCCCACATGCTTCACAGACATCCCAGGTCCCGGCTTCCATTGCGATTTCCAGAGGCTTCTGGAGTCTGTACTTAAGTTTTCTCAGCACAGCTGGACTTGTAGTTTTACCGCCCGCGGCTAAGAATGGACAACATCAGCCCCCGTGGTCCTTTAGATGTCGGTGAGCTTGCAGCAAATGTGCCCCCCGCTAAGTCTGCTGGCCAAGAAATGTAATTAACGACGGCACCCGTCAGTTTCTGTGAACAACTTGTGAGTCGAGATTCAGAGTCACGGGGTATAACAAACATCGCAGAGGATACTAGCCACTCAGCTGCTCCTTCGAGAGGTGACCGGTTGGCAACAGCCTGGCGCTACAGCCCTGCTTCAGGTCGGGGTGTTCCAGACGGCGGGTGATACCCCCCAAGAAGCTCTGCGTCTCAAGTTGGGAGTCGGGTGTGCCCGAGCCTTCACTTCCGGAAGTGCTGTCCCACCTGCCCAGAGGAAGGCAGGGCGGAGCTTCCATTCAGGGTCTCGGGTTGTGCCTGGAGCGGGAACCTTCCAGCCAGGGCCTCCCCGTCCGTCCTCGGACTCACGACAGCTCTGTCTTCCGGACTTCTGCTCTGCTGTGGCTGCCCGCCCGCCCAGTTCTCTCCGGGCGCCAGCGGGAGCCTGACCGCTGGGTCGAGTCTGTGTGTCTGTCCTGGGGTTAGGGCTCACACTCACCCCAGCAGCGTGTTTGCACACCAGCTATCCCTGATGAGAATGGTCAGGCATCGGCGTGGCAGGACGTGAGTCGGATGGTTCATGGGCCTCCGTTTTTCACCGTGAAGGAGCGTGTGTTATTAACCGCCGTAATGCTGTAATGCCGTAATGCCACTCGGGGAAGGTGTTTCCACCAGGGGCAGGAGGGGGAGAGGCCGCACAGACGGTGACTCCAGAGCTTTAGAATTGGACTCGCTGGTTCGTACTGACCGCATAACGCAGGGCAACACCACTGCTGCGTTTGCCAACTCTTCGCACCTGCAGCAGAACTTTGACACGTGGAACTACAGGGTCGGATGCCCACAGGCCGTGCAGTCTGTGTCCCCTGTCCCAGGAGGACACAGAAGTGACCTCCACAGAGCTGGCCTGGTCTGCAGCGGCCATTCTCAGGCCTTTTCGGGTGCTTGTCTCTCTTCCAGTGGGTTGTGCGTCTCGTACTCCGAAGGTTTCTTCCACGTCAGGCCGGGTCCCAAAGGGGGTTCTGTTTATCGTTTGTGGTTGGTGCCCAGCACCCTCTCTCCGGGACTGGGTATGTGTCATGGGTAGGGCTTGACAGACCGGGAGTGTTAAGAAGAACGTGCAAAACCACAGAGATAACTGCAGGCTTCCCAGAAGCCAGAGCCTCGACGGGGCCCGGAGGCCAGAGCGCGAGGGAAGCGTGGTGGTTGCCAAGTCCTCCCTGGGTGGGAGCGAACATTGCTGCGGTTTGTCAGCCCGATGATAATTTATGATGTAGATCCGACCCTTGGAGTGAAAGACTTTCCTAGTTAAGGAGTCAGTTCAGACCACGCGTTCCGCCCATGGGGAAGGGAAGAGATTACTGCTTCGATTCCAAATGCTGCAGAAGGAGCCAGCCAGCACACTCTCCACACCAGGCGGGGGTTGGTCGTCGTCACACGTGCCAGAAAGACACTTGTCGGGTGGAGTGGGGTTTGCTGACCTGCCCGATGGAGGCTCGTCTAGCTGTGGACCATCTGAATTTTGGAGGTCGCCATGGAAACCTGTCACCTGGCGTCACTGCATCTAGTCACGTGAATCTTACATCAGTCCTTTCAGACTCTGAACTTCTATCCCAATTCGACATTGGTGACGTCATGTCGCTGCCTGTTCCACGTGTCCAGGGGCCGCTACCTGCTTGTTTTTGCTCAGGGCCATAGGAGACAGCTGAGAACAGTCCAGAAGGACGGCTGCTTGGGCCACATCCTGGACCTCCTTGGACCGCAGGCTCGGCTGCTTTCTCTTCTCTTTCTCCCCTGTCGCCTGCGATTCGGGCGTCCTTGACCGGGAAGCGTGTGTTCTCCTCAGTCTGTCGGTGACTCCAACCCGTCCTGTGCCCAGGACGCACCTCCCTGTACACACCCTGTGTGGCTCCTTTCGGCTGCCGAGTCTTCCGT